AGTTTAGATTTCTCATAACTCGAGTATGAATTGCATGGCTACGCCAGACCCGGACCCGGACATTTCCGGACATGGATCCGGACCCGTGTCCGGTAGTTTCCGGACGTCCGGAATTCCGGACATTTCCGGACCTCCGGACATGGGGAGATCCGGACGGTCGGATGTCTGGGCAGGTCCGGAAATGTCCGGACCATTAAAAAAATAAAAATAAAAAAATCTGAAAAAAAAGTATGTTATGCAGAATAACAATGCAAACCACTTTTGCCTCAGAGTCATGTCGGAATTCCTAACCAAACTTGAGTTAAAAGTCAAAAACTATAAAAAGCTTAAAAAAAGACTTTAAAAACTAATAAAAGGTAATGATTCTAATGAATTATTAATAATAAAAAAATTGGGGTTGTCTAATAAATTACTAGAGAGAGAGCATGTCCGGAGCCCCAAAAAAAGCATAAACGGGCCTGAAAACCCCCCAAAACAATTTTGGGGGCTTGGCTCTTCAATGGGGAAGGGTCCTGGACCGTTTTTTTTTTTTTTTTTTTCTCGAAATTTGCCAGATCCGGACCTTCCAGACCAGACGTCTGGATTCCGGACTGAATCCAGACCGTCCGGGCGGCGGTCCGGACGTCCGGATCGTAGCCATGTGTCTAATTAGCGATTTATATTTATTCTCCTAATTACCAAATTGAGTATTTTATTCTATTAATTTAGCTACAGTTTTGGTTATTTATTATTATTTGTCATATAAATTACATCAAATATTTGTCATATTTCTCTATGTAATAAAATGGGCAGTTTGTTAGTATGCATACTATGCATACACGTTCTCGGCTCTGACATCCATGTTCCTCTCTGTGTCGCGTCTTCTCTACTGTTCCTGTCCTTCTTTTTTTTTTTTTTTTTTTTAAGGCTAATGTTCTTTTCCTTCTTGCTTGGCTGCAGTTTGGTATTGCAGTTGTGATGACAAATCAGGTTGTTGCACAGGTGGATGGTGCGGCTATGTTTGCCGGGCCACAGATAAAGCCGATTGGAGGGAACATCATGGCTCATGCGTCAACGACAAGGTAATTCTTCCAGGAATAAAACAGGAACAAGATAAATCAAACAAAATTAGCAAAAATGTCAAAATTAATTTTTATCAGTGCTGTCCTTCGGGGCATCCGTTCAAATTGGAACGATACAGAGAAGATTAGCATGGCCCCTGCGCCACGATAACATGCATAAATCGAGAAATGGTCCGAATTAAAAAAAAAAAAAATCAGTGTTGGTCCGCGGGCGGCCTGGCTGGGGGGAAGGTCACCCAGGTACCCATCCGGACGGAGCCCGGCCGGGCAGGGTCCTGGCCAGTCCTGACGCATAATCTTTCACCAAAAATAAATAAATAAATAAAATTGGCGCTGTGTAAAATTGCAATACAAACAACTTTTGGCTGGTGGCAACAAAAGAAAGCAACAAAAAAACTTTAGGAAAAAATGAAATTCAATGAATAGAGCGTAGGTCTATCGTCAAAGGTTATAGGCCTTCTGTTAAGAAAGATTGGGGGAAAAAAAAAAAAAAAACAAGAATACATCTTTTTCACCGTTGTCTTGTTCTCTGGTTAGAGCCAGCTATATGCATTGGGCTCCCTACTCGCTGTCATGATGTGACCCGCCCTGAGCCATTTTCCCTTCTCTGAATTTGAACTGCGGAAGGGGGCCTTAAGTGTCTGATAAGCGCAGGCCATGCCTCAACACATTCACTCAGCTGCGGAAGGGGGTCTTAAGTGTCTGATAAGCGCAGGCCATATGCCTCAACACATTCACTCCGCACGTTTCGTGGCCTTAAGTCCATTGTACGTATCTGTCTGACAAAGTGACTTGAATCGAAAGCAGGGGATACTAAGGACACAGAAAAGTGGTCGAAAAGTGCTAACGGGAATGCATGAATTAGACTGCAGAGGGGGTCTATATTCAGAAATATTCGCCCTGTCGGCCTATGGTTTACCCGGCAGTTCTGTTTGACGATATATATATATATATATAGTTTTGCTGGCTTGTGATGGGGTGTGAACCGACAGTCTGTAGAGTTTTCCATCTGGTGTGGGTGAGTGATAGTCTACTTTGATTTTGGTTAAGGTAGATTATCATTTACAGTGTAATCAGTGAGGGGATTCTGCAGACTGTTGARGGTTCAGCCTCCTGATGAGTCGGTGAAACTCCGACGAAACAGTTTGTCACAGCCCCTCGTTTGTTGTCCTCTTCTCTCTCTCTGCCTACGGTTTACCGGGCAGTTCTGTTTGACGATATATATACTCCTGATGAGTCGGTGAAACTCCGACGAAACAGTTTGTCACAGCCCCTCGTTTGTTGTCCTCTTCTCCTTCTCCCTCTCTGCCTACGGTTTACCGGGCAGTTCTATTTGACGATATATATATCATATATATATATCGTCAAATAGAACTGCCTACGGTAAACCGTAGGCAGAGAGGGAGAAGAGGACAACAAACGAGGGGCTGTGACATCATAGAGTTTAGGGGTTAGGGTTTAAACAGAAGCGGAGTGAGATGCAGAGAAGATTAGCATGGCCCCTGCGCAAGGATGACATGCATAAATCGGGAAATGCTCAAAAAAAAAAAAAAAAAAAAAAAAAGTAAGTGGAGTGAGATAGTGTTGTCAGTGCATGGTAATTGCAGTGAATCCGTACGTTCACACATGAACGCACTCAAGAGCATCACACCCTTGATCAAACGAAGTACACACTCTAAATCGTAGAAGACCGAAACACTACGATAATGACGAAAGAGTATAGAGCCAGGCTGGCCGAAAGGTGCCAAGAACGCCGCACAGTTCACCGAAGTTCCTCACGTGTCCCTTTTGGAGGCCCGGAGGGATTGTTCCGAAGCGAGGGTACGAAAATGCACAGGTTAAACCGAAGTAGGGTAAGATAGCCAGATGATGGATATTAAGGGCTCTGACATTTTCAGTATGTTTCATTCCGGAGGGTACAATGCTGTTGGATCGTAGTAGTCAATTTTCTTCCTTAAAGCACCAGTACATGCCAGCTATCGGCCACGGGCCGCTTTCAGCAGCCGTCCGGCACCGATTCATTTTATCTACGGCACAAAGCACCAGTACATGCCAGCTATCGGCCGCAGGCCACTTTCGGCAGCCGTCCGCTACCGACTCATTTTATCTGCGGCGCTCGGCCTCCTCAATTTTCGGAGAGGCTCAAAACAGCTCTTGGTTTGCTGATGCGAGAACGACGGTGGCCGGTGCTGGGGTGTTTGCCTTGTGACCTGTTTTGTAGCAGGAGCGTGATGCCTGGTAGAGAGATCTGGGGATTTGTCAAGGGAGGAAGGCAATCCAGTGGCAAACTAGGTGGTACTACCAATACAACCTTTGAGGCCGGGTATAGTTTTGGTAGTGAGAACACGACAGCGATGGCAGGTATTGGGCAGGTTGATTTTATCTTCGTAGTGCTGAGTCTGGTTTAGGGGAAAGCTAAGAGTTGCTCATTGATTGTGAGGCTGCGAGTTGCCGATGTAGTTGTCATCTTTGTCATCCATCAGCTGATTTACTAATCTCATCATCTTTAGCATCGTCATCATTGGTATCATTATCTCACAGTCTTTGTAGAATCAGCAGCGTATCAAGCTTTCTAGCATCTCACGTTCACGAGTATTCCGTTCAGCTGCGTATCAGAGACACAGTCGGGGTTCAACCAAGGGCTGGCTATTCCCAGTGATCCCCTTTCACGACGAGCTTGAGTCTTCGCAGCGAGTTCTTCACTACGAGTATGGTGTTCTGTAATGCTTAGCGGCATCTAGTCTTCTTCCTCATTCAGGATATAGGATTTCAGGGATGGTCGAATCTGGACTGATATCAGCAGCGTTGCTTTGTTCTGTGCCCCTGGTTTGCCGATGCCAGAACGACGCTGGCCGGAGCCGGGGCGTCGCCCTGTAACCTGCGAATGGCAGGAGTGTGAGGCCTTGTAGAGAGATCTGGGGTTTTGCTGAGGGAGGAAGGCAATCCAGAGGCGAACTGGGGGGGCTGCCTAGACAACCTATGGGTCCAGGGATAGTCTAGGTGGCGAGAACAGGTCAGCTATGGTTGACATTGGTTAGGATGGCATCGTCTCTAAGATGTAATGTCCTGGTACAGGGAGGGCTAGGAGTTGTTCTTGGATTAGGAGGCCAGAATTGCTGATATAGCATAGTCTTCTATAATTTTTACATACTAATCATCATCATCATCATCATCATCATCATCATCATCATTGGTATTATTATCTCACAGTTTTCATAGAATCAACAGAAGTTCATCGTCATCATCAGCATCATATGAGGGACACTGAGCCTGGTTCTCAGCATGTTCGGTTCGGTCACTCCAGGTAGACTGTGAGGACCCCGGCCTCAATTCTCTGATTGGTAATAAAAAAAAAAAAAAAAAAAAAAAAAAAAAAAAAAAAAAAAAAAAAAAAAAAAAAAAAAAAAAAAAAAAAAAAAAAGGTTCCCCAGTTGCCTGGGGCCATGTACTGGTGGTTAAACTTTAACCGTTTAACGGAATTAATTAATCAATGTTGTTAGCGTACCCCAGGCCGTAACGTGGGGAAGCGCGCTGCAGGGTTCACGTCATATATTTTTGACTTGCCGGTGGATTTGCTACCGAACTGCTGCTCCCCAGAATAGTAGTAGGAGCCTGCTTTCTCTCAAAAAAAGGGGGGAGGGGAATGGCCCTGAATACCCCTGAATAATGGTATGGCAAGCGCGGGATCCAAAAAAAGAACAAAGAAAAATAACTTGTGTGTTTGACGGCAATTACAGCAGGCCTTGGATGTATCTGACCGGTAATGCATGCAGAGATCAGTCAAAAAAGTCCTCCCTAGTTTGAGGATTACAGTAGTAGTACTTTCTTTTTTTTTTCCTTTTGTAAAGAGAAAAGTGATAGACGGTAGTATAATTGCGAGAGTTCGGGAATTTTTGGGCTGTGCCCTGGAAATCCAGGACCAGTATCTGTTTGCGGGATCTTTTCAGAAGGTTCGAAATGAGGACTGCTTGAAACTGGGAATGGATCTGCCAATTCGGGCCCGGCCAGGATTTCGGCTCATGGTCTAGTAGGACACAGAAAGCCGCAGCTTAAAAAATAAATAAATAATAATAATAATAATAATAAATAATAATAATAATAATAATAATAATAATAAAAAAAAAAAAGAAAGCCGCAGCTATTACTGGATGGCTGACTCGGATCGACAGTGACTCGTCTTTCCGTGATAAGATTCCCAGGCAGGTGACACTTTTGAAAATGGCCAACTTGAAAAAAGGTTTCGCGGTCGAGTTTTTCGTCGAAGTCCTCGACAACCTGGCGGCAAAGAGGGGTCCGATTTGGGACCAGACCGCGAGCCTGATACGTTGTTCTGCAGTCTGACCTTGGTGGGTGGAGGTAGGCTATAGTCTCCGTAGTTTTTGATGTAGTATATAGGTGTAGCTATTTTTAGTCTTTCTTCCTCTTTCTGGCTGTTGTCTTCAGCTTGCGCTCTGCGTGACGTTGACGACGACTGCCGCCATTTTGACTGACGGAAAGCTCGGTGGATCTTGGAGGGTGGGGCAGATAGGGGATGGGACCTCCATGATGATAATTTTTCCTATTTGACACCCCCTGATGCGGGGTATTGTTAACGTTTATACTAATTTATAGACAGTTTGCTGGTTATGCGGAGAAGAAGCCCTTGGCTTGGCAAAACTGTTGCTTTTATCATTTTTTTTAGTACAATTTTTTTAATGAATTTTATTATTTTATGATTTTTTGTCAGTTTATCAACATTTATTGAATTTGATTGAATTTTTATATTATTTTATCAAAACTCATATCTGTCCAATTTCTGTGATGTCTTTGTTTTCTTATTAGGCTTGCATTGAGGAAGGGAAGAGGAGAGGAGCGCATCTGCAAGATCATCTGCTCTCCATGTTTACCAGAGCAGGAGGCGAGGTTCGCAATTATGCCGGAGGGAGTTTGCGATGTCAAGGATTGACCCGTCAGCCTCCAGCTCGATGGGACAAGGGAAATCATCCGTCTCGGGATTGTTTGTTTGTTTGTTTGTTTTTTTTTTTTTTTTTTTTTTT